TTTTTAACCTAGGCCGGCGAGTGGCACCGCTGTCAGTTCCGTACGCATATCCATAAGTGTGTGGCAACGTGTCAGCTACAGGTTTGGGGTCCTTGGTCAGGGATGCGCGTGTGTTTTCCGCCCCTACCACCAACCTCATGACAAGCCAAACTTATGCACTGAAACCTCCAACCTGCAAAAGTTGCCTAATTATTGGTTACGGCCGGATTTTGTGCGGACTGGAGTGTCCGCCCAAATGATACGGGGCAACCCATGGGAACCTCCACGAATCAAGCATGAAATGGAAGCTGGTAGAAGAACTCATTGCCATAAGTTTATGCTTTTCCACCTAGAGGCCGGCTTGTCTCCATAGGATTTTTCACGAATTTAACATTGACAACTGGTCCTTGCTTAGGGTTGGGGCAATTCCTTCACTTTGGTCTAGCCAACACGAAAGCCACCGGCTCCGGATTCCAAATTGTTGAAAGTAAAGGCTTCACTGACGCCTCTATGGTTGGAGGGGTTCTACGGTTGCCGCGTACCCTTGTGGCAGTCCAAGAAACACATTTGTTCTGCTCTCATCGACGGCTCGCACAACCTGAGAGCGGGAAGGCGGCGAATTAAGCCGGTGGAAGGCTGAGTCGTCTCAAAAGACTGGAAATGTCCAAATGGGATGCAGGAAGCACACATTCATCCAAAGCGGCTAAGTTCATCTGAGATGTTGGGTGGATACCCGCTTAAAAAGGTAATCCTCAAGACTTGAGACAGTATGTCAAGCAATCCGATCTTGGCAAGGCCATGATTGATCTGGGCAAGTGGTTCAAACATGTCCAGACCAATTTCGTCGCTCTTCGTCCATCCCGGTGCCAGGATCCATCGTGCTGCTCCACCAAACAATCAAGCCATCTCCAAGAAACCCCTTTCATCCTCTCCAAGGCACCCAGTTCATCTCCACCTTGGCCTTCTCCCCCTGCGAAAAGCGATGTACTCTCTGCACCACCACCGTCTCCTAGCCACACAAATGGCGGGGGTGGCAAGCGAGAGAGAGCAAGAGAGAGAGATGAGTCGCTTGCCGCGGTGGACGCGGACGGTGCCCAAGGAAAGAGGGAAGGAGACTTGTCCCACGATTAGATCCTCCAGCTACTCAACTCCAGCTTGGTTGTTCTGGACTGTGGCCTCTAATCGTTTTACCACCTTGCCAACCACAGAAGCTTGCCCAAATCTTGCTCCTTGATGTCCCAGGCGTCCCGTCCTGAGCTATGCCCCCATACTCGGTCATACTTCTAATTACGAGTTCTGGCAGGTCCTAAGTCCCCCCTGTGCCAGGTGCAGACCCGCCAAGACCGTGGACACAGCACGAATGTGCCGTCCCCCAACACCGCGGAGGATTCCTCCCCGCTGAACTCAATCCCCAGCGGTCGATGGTAGAAATGGATCTCCTGGCAAGGCCACGAACTGCTTGAAGTCCAATTTTGCAACACTCCCAAAAGGATAGAGATGGCAACAGTTCAACTGTTCAACGGCTTTGTTTTCGATAAGTTACACCATGTTACACATATCACTTCTGAACTGGGCTCAAGAACAGGGTGGCACCAAAACTCGCTGGCATATGTTCAGCTGGCCCCTTACTCCGAGTGGATTACAAGACACGTGACATATGGCTAGTTAGGCCTAGTACAACAAACTTGAGGCCGAGGGTAGGTGACGAAAGCTAGCAGGGATGCATCCGTGTCAGTGGAGGCGAAGCATACAGCGCCGTCCAGTGACAAAGGACTGGTGGGACATCAAGCGGAGTGAGGCAAATCTTTTTTCATAGGCATGGGGCTGTTGGAGGGATGGTTCACAAGGTCTCGCTCATGAGGTACAACGTTGTGAACATGCAAGACACACGAACAGCAATGACACAGCCAACCTTAGCTTGTGAATCTGTTGCATCGTATCCCAAAACCTCCACGGAGGAGTTGAACCAAAGTGGATGCCATAAGATGTGTCCAAGAGGTGTCCGTCCCAGAGGCGTCCCAGGGGGGGAGTTGTTCCAGCCCCTCACTTGCTAAAGCAAGGACAACTCCAGCTAGCTGATGCTAGCTTTCGTGATGTTCGTTGCTTTGAGTGTAATCTTTGTCAGGGAACCCCCCCTGGCCGAGATCCCTGCGACACCCGTTGTTCCATGCCCCCACCTTCTCGTGGCCATCAGGCCGTTCGAAGGTCACCACCACCCTCCTCATGCGTGCTCACGGTTCTGCACGGGTGTTGTTCATCTGCTCATCATCGTGTTGCAGTAGCAGCTTGCGGGAGACATCTTCTCTGAGATGCTGGTTTGCAGTAGCTTTAGCGTGCTCAGCTACTATGAAGAGGTCACCGAACTGTACATCCCACAGTTTCGTTCGACATTGTCAAATTTTGGAGTTCCTCAGTTGAGCACACAATTGTTTACTCTCCCCAAATAAACCCAAATACACCAACGAAGCGTTGAAGCTCTGGCCTTCTCTGAGTGGAATCCTCGGGAGCTTGCTGGTTCTGATCCTTAGACAGTTGAAACTGAGTAGAGTCGAAAGCCAAGTCCATTCGAGAAGAAAGACTCATCCCTTCCTACATGTCACGGTTGACACGAAGCCAGCCTCCGGTTCAGTAGTGCATCTAAGCATTTGGGGGCAAAAATGTCGGCACTGTGCAAGCCACTGGATGTAAATGAAACTGTAGATGGTAGATATAAGCTGGTTCTAGCTGCTAGCTATGATGCCACTGGGCCGCGCTTCACACCTGGCAGACTGGACTAATCACTGCGCCACAGCCGGACCCGTTTCTTCTCACAGGTCTTCTCGTTGTTCTCGCCGAGCACTGCAGCCGAGCCACCAAGCCTGTGATCCACTCCTCGGGGCTTTGCACCGTCAGGGTCTCCACGCATGGCGTGCAGGGGCCATTGGCTCCACTGGCCTCGGTGAATGAACACAGGCGGAACGGAGGAGACATCATATATATATATGTGTGTGTGTGACTTACATATGTATGTGACATATATATATATATATGTACTTGAGAGTCACACACTTCCCTGACCCAAGTGCCAAATAATCTGCTCCCCTCGCACCTCGTCAGAAGTGCAGCAGAACATTGTCGACGTGCTCAGCACATGGCCTTCTCAACGTTCAGAATGTATCCGACTCTGGCTCAGAACAACCGCACTGAGACTGTGCGGGAAGCTTGACTGTCGCTCATCCAGGCCCCAGAGAAGACCAAGTACTGAGAGTTCCAAAGTTGCTTGTCTTTGCTTCTGGCTATTAGGTTGGAGGCCATCGCTATTAGGTTCGAAGCCATTGCTATTGGGATGGAGGCCATCGCTACTCACAAACGAAACTCCCAAGATCTGCCTGGAGTGTCAGTCAAAACCGCCGCGCCGCCGCTGGAGCCGGAGGCTGAGAACGAAAACGCGCACAAGTTGACCAGCGGAACTTGTGCTTGTTGAGCCCACCCTTCAGACTTCACAAAGCTCGATGCCATGTGGTCTGACCTACTCGACAACCACAGCAGGACAGTCGAGATTCTGGACCCAAACTTCCATGAATTCCAGATTGTAGTGCATTGGCTTCATTGGCAGTCGCACAACTCGGAGATCCTCGTTGCACTCATGCCCTAGAAGAGCTACCGACCCCCCACAATCCTCCTCCCATCTGGGCCTGCTCCAAATGTGCTCGACACACCCTCTTCAAAGCCTGAGCGAAACAACAGGTGGCAACACACGTCCGCGTGTAGCGGGAACCAAGAATGTTGTACCCTCTGGTGCTCTGGTCGATGAAACCCTTAATTTGATGCATGTCTTTGACTGCAGCCGCGTTCATAAATCAACATTGGCATGTGTCGAGGGGGCCCTAAGTGATGCAAACCAGGGGCTGTCCTGATCTGAGGCACAACTGCCTGTCAACTCCCAAGTGCTTTCAACACCCGCAGACTGCTGAGTTGCAGACATACTCTTGTCCACCCTGATCCACAACCGAGACATCAAGTAGTCAACGTGGATCCGGGATGCATGAGAAGCTTCTGGAGGCAAGGACCCTCTGTGCATCAACAAACTGAGTCCACAGAATCATCATGCAAAGCACCACCAACAAGCACCAAACCTTCTCTTTTCCCCAATGACGCTCTCTTGGCGGTGAACACGGCGTAAATTCTACAAGAGCACCCTCATTGCTCACGGACAAGTTCGCTACCCTTGAGTCTCTGCTTCACTTTGGGGCGCTTCGAGGATGACGTAACATCGGCGTCCAACTTCAAACTGCCGAGATCGTTCTCTCCAAAGCCTCGGTCGAGATTGATCCCAGAGCAGCCAAGGAGGCCCGCCCAAAAGGGCTCCAAAGGCTAGTGAATAGATCTATATAGAATGATCTACAGTACAGTAGATAGATGGCACAACAATGGACAAGTGGTGTTTTTGTTCAGTCACTCATTCTGTGTTGGCGGAACACCCGTCCCAGGGCCAAGCAGCCGCCGTTCATCACCTTCTCCCACTTCAAGCGAAGCCGTCGGTTCCCGAGCACCGACAAATGCGCACGGATGGCCTCCGACAACGCCTCGCGCTGGTCACCACTGGCCATTTGCATGGCTCTCTTGACGACATAGTGCCTCAGCAACCAAGGGACAAAAAACAGTCTGTCACTTTTCTCACTCTACAGAACATGCACTCAGACAAATTTAAGTAGATAGGAGGCGATATGTGACGTGTCAAGTCAGTGTTGGAACTCGTTTTCTATAATTATCTGATATCTCTGGTTCGGTAGCCTTTGTCTGATCTTGACTAAGCTGGCTCTTTAGGATTCAATTGAGGTGGCTAAGGCTGCGTGTTTTCACAAGACCTGAAGCATGGACACTATGGCCACGGTGCCCATAATTGCTGTTCACCAGCACTGACATCTTGTCGCTCTCCACCAGCTCCCAAATGAACTTCCTCCGGAACTCAGGAGGTGCTATGGTGAGGAGCTTCTCCACCACGTTGGAGGAAAACTTCTGGATGCTGAGTTGCATCATCCGACCCTCCAACTTCTCCAGGATCGGCTCACAGTCACGACCCCCCCACTCCTCCAAGGCATGTTGAATGGCATAGTTCCCATAGGGACTCTGAACCAAGTCCATGGCGTGCCGTGCCAGCTGCTCCAAGAGGAACTCGCGATGATGACGCGCCAAAGAGATGCACTTCTTCAGCACGCAAAGTCCATAAGGGTGGTGTGCCACCTCGATGATCCGATCACCGATGATCAAAAAAATCCAATCCGTCACAGAGCCTTGGAAGCAGGTCAGAAGTCGTTGGATCACATGTGTTCCATTGGGATCCATGCTGAGCTCCACGATCTGGCCTTTGACCGCACCCATGAGTTGATCCTGCTCCTCCTCCAGCTGTAAAAGCTCAATGAAGGCTTGCAGGGCATGGGTGCCCCGCTTGTCGCACGCGATCTGCGCCACGCACGGGGCCAACTTCTCCAACATGCGCCTTCGTTGAACCTGGGAGCAGGCTTGGAAGGCGGCGCTGCAAAGGTAGTTCCCGTAAGGATCGCACATCATGGAGGCAATCTCTTCCTCCACTTCCTTCAGGATTACCTCCACAGCAGCACCTGGCAAAGCAAAAAAAGAACTGGGACCCCTCCTTGGGATTGGCTTTCGAAGCTCCGTTCTTTGAAAAACCCGGCCCTGCCCACCTGAACCTTTGAGGAGCTGACGCTGGAGGTATTTACTGCCCGCTTGCGTCCGAGACATCTGGCCAACTTGCCCCACCAGCTCTCGCGCTTCGCTGGGCACGCTCGACAGATCCCTCCTGGGAAAATGGATTGAGGCAACGCGCAGACGCGTATATATATATATATATATATGTTTACATGTGTTTTTCAATGCAAAAGGGACCTGAAAAAAGAGGAAAGAACTGTATGTGGCCGGTGTATCATGTGCAATCAGTCAATCAGGCCACATGGTGCAAGCATCTACCCGAACTTGGGGTTGATCTTACCCATGCCTTTCCAAAACCTGACGCTAGCACCTGGAGAATTCAGATTGCTATCTTGTTCCAGTCCTCTTGTGATCTGCGGATTGGCTTCCACTGCTTGCATCAGAGGAGGTTCTGGCGTGCGTCTGAGGTGCCAAGCCATTCTCCTTGGATGCCACCTCCTAGCCACGGGAACAAGACTCCAATGACTTCAACTAAAGACACCATTGCCGCCACCTCTCGAGCACTTCAATTTCTCAAAATCTTCCCTGTTATAGACTCTGGTCCGGCTGGAACAGTCCAAAAGGACTCTCTTAGGACAATTAGGACCTAGGCGACCTAGGGGGTCGCCTAAATCCATGTCGTCACCTGGCTTAATGTCCCAACTGGAGTCCTTTGGTTGGATAACTCTTTGGGTGATGGGGACGGTGTGATCAACAAACTGAAGATTCAACAGCATAGCATGGCTCTATATAGAGATTTGGCCTACTTATAGCGACGAGGCTGAACAGGTAAACTCACGCCACCTCCAGTCAAACACGGTGGCCCCGATCCACATCGAAGCGCCTTCCCATTGACGTTGGGTTTAGGGACCTCAGAAGCACCCATAGGCGGCATAGGACCCATCCGCGGCCAACCCAAAGCCGAAGCAGCACCCCAGTGATAGGCCTGAGACGTTGGGAAGCAATCTGGTAAGGGCTGCATGGGAGCCCCAGAACAGGCTTCCAAATTGTCACACTTCCAAACAAACCTTTCAGCAAGAAAGGTTTTGCCCGCTTTTGGTCCCGTCTCGAGCGGTCCCCTTAGTATTGTGCTGCATGCAATCTTGACTCCAGTCACTTCACGTGCCTCGTATGCGGCATATGCCTACCCTGCCTGAAAGCTCATGGCCATCTGCTGCACTGTCAAAGGGTCCTGCGACCGCATGCCCGGCATGCCCCAGATCGCATGCATTTCGGGCATTGTCACCTCCGTTGGGCGAATAAAGCCCCCATAGTCCATGCCGTTCGTGACGTTCGTGGAAGCACCTGCAGAGGATCTACAGCGGACAAGGATTGATGTCAAGATGTTCCATTCCACACAAATCAGAAGCTACTAGGAACAAAGGGTATTGCTACTAGGAACAAGGACGCTACTAGTAGCTCCTGGCCTTAATACTAGTAACAAGTGCGGAGATGAATTGGGCTCTAAATGCGAAAAGCGAAAAGCGCGGCTTTTTGCAGCAAGTGCGCTTGATCAAGCTGCAGAAACAACCGAACTAGCCGTCGACAACCACCGCACGTCAACTTTCACATTGGAAAGGAAGGGTGTCGGCTTGTTCGGCATTGCATGAATTCGTTGGCGCTGCCAACTGCTAGGGTTTCACGTGGCTCTGCCACCACCTTTCTCATGGCTCTGCCATGTACTCTTTTGGCTCTGCCATGAAGTGGACTTCGCTGAAGTCGTCATCTGCTTCGATCGGACTTTCCGACGTTCTCGTTGTCCCTTTCTTAGCTGCTTGCGGTGCTCTTCGATCTCACGTTCCTCCGGCGTCTCTTTGAGGCTGATGGTCTTCTTCCGTAGGTATTCCTCCCACAGCACATTTCTCATGCCCTTTGTAAGGCCGTCAGCGTGCTGTCGATGGGTCGGTACCCAAAACAACCTGTAGATCTGTTGTTCCAACAAGTCTTTGGCGACAAGCAATTCCAACATGGTTTGCCTTTCGGCTGGAATTTGACCAGTTGCTCCAAGATGATCGAAAAGAGATTTCGCGTCGGTCACGATGCCACCGCCAACGCGAAGCTTCTCTCGCCAGTCGGAGCCAACCTTGAAGACACCATGCAACATCATGTCCGCAATCAGGCGGATGTAGAGATGCCTGTCAACCGCCACACTGAGCGAACACGATTCTGCCGCCATGGAACTTCGAACAACCCTGCTGCTCTTGTTGGTCGTATAGTCGATTGCTGCAGCTGGTTGTGGTCCATGAATGACATCTTCATTGGACAGGAAATGAATCGCACCTAGTTGCGATTTGCCATCCTTCTCTTTGCCCAAGCTGGCGTCGAAGTAGGTCGCCAAAAACAACTTGCCACGAATCCGAGGGTATGGCAGAACAGATCTGCCTTGGCGGGCTTCTTCTTTGCATTCTTCAAAAAGCTGGAGCGCCGCCTTGTAGTCACCCATCGTGGCTTTTGTTGCATACTGCGCCAGCTTGCTCGTCTTGTACAAAAGCTGCGGCATTGACTGCTGACCAGGCCAGCGCAATCTCATCACCAACTGTCGATATGCCGTGAGCTGCTGGGCATCAAGTGGCTTGTCATCATTCTTTTTCTCTAGCTTCATGCTTGGGAGGGCGATCTTGGCGATGTAGTTTGACATATCGTCAAAAAGTTCTTCACCCTTTTGCTTGAGGTCCACGCCAAGGAAGGTCAAAGGGATCGACTTCCACTCTTTGATCGTGAACATGTCACTCTTCAACTTCTGAAAGCGTGGATCACCTTCATCGCCAAACAAGAGCCCATCATCAACATGCAAGCTGAGAATCCTCCAGGCTTCGTTGCCTTCCGCGGCCACAAAACTGCTTTTGCTAATGGGCAGTTCTTCCAGAGGTGTGGTCGTGAGCAGCTTGCTGGCACGCAAGTACCAAAGCCTTGGGCTTTCAACCAAGCCATATGCAGATCGAAGGATCTTCATCAGTTCTCCAGCTTTCACTGGAGGCTCTCCCTCAACTGCTGGTAGACCTTCTTCTGGAGCTCTGACGTAGACGTCTCGGGTGAGGTTCTCGCCGTGGTGACATCAAATGACCACCCTTTCCAACCATTCCGAACCGCCACAGCCTTTGACGTCCGAACTGCCTGCAGCGTCGCTGTAGGGCTGTCGCTCCTGAAGTGGCCCAATCCAGGATCTCGGTCTCCAGGAACTACCAGACGGGATTTTGCCACCAACGGTGCCAGGAGTTGAGTCTGCTTGTTGACTCGCACCATTCGCAAAGGAGCCTTGAAAATGAGGTGCCTGCCCACTCTTTGGCATCTGCTTTGAGGAACTCTGCACGCTCCTTCTCATCAAAGAATTTCGGATCCAGTTCCTTGCCGCTCTGTTTGAGCTTGAGGAGCATCACCTCTGCCAGCAGGTGATCATGCAGATCTTCCAGCCAAAGATGCTCAAACTGTCGTCGCTCCTCCTCTTTCAAGTTGGCCTCATAGATCCCATCAGGAAGCTGGATGTAGGTTTTCTGTTCTGTAGACGGTGGCTCACTCTTCAAAAAGAAAGTCATTCCTCGCCATGGGAAAGATGCCCTCCGTCGGGGATGCTTTGCCGCTTCCTCTTGATCTTCTTCCACCATGAAGATATTGTCCGGATCCTTGCCCATCAGAATCGTCACCCGAGCTCGCTTGCGAGGTGGCTTCATGAACCGTTTTCGGGGAAAGCGATGTAGCCTCGCAGCCGTAATCGGCAATCCGGTGAGTTGCCTGAGCAGTTCCACTTCATGGCGGGTGATCCATTCGTTGGCAGGTCCTTCTCTTCTGAAACTGTGGAAGCGAGCACCTGCATGAACAAAGCTGTGCTCGGTCTGGCCCTCTTCAAGGGGAGTTCTGAGGTAGTGGATCCTTGCAGTTTCCGCTTAATGCTGAAAGGAACATCATCTGTGAGACGCTGTCTTCGGGCCTCTGTAGGCAGTTGCTCCCAATCTGGTGGATGATCAGGACGTGGTGAATCTGCCGGCGAAGTCGGTGAATAGTCGGATAGACCACCTGAATCATCAATCGGCACATCGGCACCAGATGTAGGGGCAGGTTCCAATGGTGGCTCAGCCACAGGTGCTGGTAGTGGCTCAGCCACAACCGGAGGTACGTCCTCCAAAGCCAGGCACCGCCTTACGACACGCGGTGCCGGTTCCAATGGCGCTGCCACGGGCTGAGCAGGTAGAGGATCTCGAGGCACAAGTTCTCGATGTAGTGGAGGTTCAATTGCCGCTGGCAACTCCTTCCTCTTTTTCTGCCGTGGTAGCTGAGACATCTGAGGTCGCTGAGTCAACAGCCTTCGAACTGCCTTTGTTCCCCTCAGGATGTTCTTTGCTCTCAGCCTCTGTGGATCTTCTGGAGGACGAGGTTCTCTCTTCTTTCGAGGTCTCGGAGGCGGTCGCTTTCCTCGAAGGTCCTGGTAGATGTTAGATCTTGTTGGATCTCTCAGAAGTTCTTGGATGTCCAGGACGTCTTCTTTCACCGGTTCCGAAAGTGCCAGCTCCTCGAGTTGCAAGCCTCATGTTCTCCTCGGCTAGTAGGAGTAGTCGTCCTCGCCAGCTCACAAAGTATCTTTTCTGTAGCTCTTGAACCAACACAGTAGCCGGACCACGCCATTGGCCACTGTCACGGTTGTAGCGCTTGAGCTGCGGCGCCCAAAAATAGATCTGAGCACCTGACACGAATGGTCCTGTAGCTGTGGGTGGCTTGCGTAGCAATGTCCTCCTGAGCTTGTCACGGACATCTTGACGAATCAGAGCCACGAGCTGTTGTGCGCATCTTGTGTGCACGAGCCACCTCACTGTCTGCAGATAGACCGTGGACAAAGCTCATACCAACGTCATCAGCAGTTTCATTTGGGTATAGCCAGTGATGCCACGCTCATCAACAATCGCCTGAAACATGACTCCCAATGTGGCTCCGTGACGCTCTCCCGCACTCAACTGCCATGCTGCATGAGCTCCTGTCACCTTTGAGGGGATCGCTAGATCTTCGAGGAGAGCATGGAACGACTGTTCGAATTCTCCTCCTTGGTCATGAGTGACTTGAGCTGG